CTCATTTATACTCAGCTAAAACAATGAATCTTAGTTGTTTCATGCTTACCAGAATTTGTTATTTTTTTGTATTTTTTCTAGTCATACTGACATCCATCTTTTCTAATCCAGTTTTAAGCAAAAAATACTTCAGGTGTCCTCTTTTATGGCATGCCTGTTAAGTCTCTTGTCCATTTCTTAATTGTATTATCTGACTTTTTCTTGCTGATTTGTAGGAGTTTTTATATATTACTGGTAAGGATCCTTTGTCATGTATGTGTATTGTAGATATCATCTCGTACTCTATAGCTTACCTTTGTACTCTCTTAATCATATCTTTTGATTAATTTTTAAATTTTGAGTGGTCCAATTTAATAAAAAAAATTTTCATTTATGTTTGGTGCTTTTTTGTGCCCTACTAGAAAAATCTTTACATACCTCCAAGGTTATAAGTATATTTACCTGTTTTCTTCTGTATGTGTTATTGTTTTACGTTTCACATTTAACTCTGCAATCTACCTGGAGTTAATTTTTGTGTATGGGGTGAGGTAGGGGGTTAAGATTCATTATTTTCCATATGGATGTCCAGTTAACATGCAGTTCTATGTCATCTCTATCGTAATCAGCAACTTCATGTATGGGTCTGTTCTGGGCCCTCTGTTCTGTTCCATTACAACCAACTTTTTTAAACTATCAAGTAAAGTGATGTATGTGTGGGTAGTTCGTAAGGGAATTCTAGAGTTAAGTGGAATTAGTTTATTCAAGATGACCCAGGAAGCAATATTAGGGCACTTATCCTTAAACTGGAAGAAGTTACATATTATTAGTAATAGAGCTAAGCTTAATTGTCAAAATCTCTGACTTTCAAACACATAGAGGGTTTTTGACCTCCAAACTTTTAATTATACATTTTTATCAGTAAATGATACTTGAAGATATATACCCCAATATATTTATATTTATGTTATATATATGTATATGTGGTATATATATTACTGCATTAATGTTATTGTCATTATAAAACACACAAAATTAAAATTTAAGAAGAAATTATAAAATAAAAATTCTGATATTTTCTTTCTGCCCCCCTGTATCAGCCAAGATAGTCTAGGTTATTATGTATGTTAACAGCTCTCAAATTTCAGTGGCTTAAAACAACCAGTTTATTTCTCTCATGCAACATGTCCATTGTGGTTTGGCTTCAACACTCCTATGTATTGTTCAACACTGGCACCCAGACTGACAGAGCACCTACCCTCTGGAAGCTAGCTGGTCACTGGGACAGAGGCAAGTTAATAGGGAATTAGCACTTAAAGCTTTGACCTAGATAAGACACATGGCATTTCTGTTCACATTTCATACCCCAAAGCAAGTTATGTGTCCTCACCTAATTGCAGAGAAGAAAAATCCTAATCTTATGCCCAGGAGGAGAACTGGACATATTGTAGACACCCGAAAAATGATCACTTCTCCTGCAATTGATTTTGGAGAACAAAGCCCTGGATTAAGAAAATAAACACACAAAAAAATGAGTCCATTTGGTTTTTTCTATTATTTCATGTTGTTTGAAAACCCTATAGTCCTGAGTAATGAATCTACTACAACTACAGGTGTAGTGGTCTCTAATGGCTTCTCTTGGCACTCATTATATAACCCAGACACCTTAATATAGCCTACAAACCCTACCTTTCCAGCTTCATCTCATGCCACTCACAATACACCTCACAGTCCTCAGGCTGGCCTTTAGATTCCTTGAAGGGAAACATGTGCTTTCTACTGCTGTCTTGAAGGTTTTTCTTCCCTTTCTCCTTATTTTTGCCTGGCTATTCTTTACCTTTTAGGTCAAATATTTCAAAGAAGCCCTCTCTAACTCACAGTGTAGATCAAGTCCTTTCTGTTCTATACTCTCATAATAACCTGTACTTTGCTTCCAGAGAAACTGTTCCATTTGATAAGTATATTTTTGCACTATTATTTGTTCAATCCATTTCTCCAATTAGAGGGCAAACGTCAAGGGAGTAAGGATCAAGTCTGTTTTGCTTACCACTATATGCTAATCCTTATTCAGCCCAGTTACTAGCATGTCATAAAAGCTTATTAAATATTGAGTTTGGTTATAGTTTTTTTTTATATTTTAGGTCTATTACATTTATGTAGTCTATAGCAGACATATCTAAGATATTTGTACAGTCCATAGAGAACAAATTGATAATAAGAAGTAAATCACACAAACTGCAAATACCCCCTTGCTCTATTCCTGTATGTCTTGGGGAGTCTAAGAGATTCCAAAGTAAGAATGCTTTACCTCTTCTGAGTTGAAATATATCCTTATGTAGATTTTCACTTTCTTTAAGTGGTTTTCCTTTTCTCATTTCTTGAGTTATATGTTTATGTTTATGTTGAAAGCCCTATAGTCGAGGGATATATTATATTTAACATAAATGGCAGTAAAACTGCCTAAGCAATAAGTGTGTTATATAGATACAGTGAATAAACAAATAAACTGTATGATATGAAGCTGTATTTTCCTCTAGTTTTCTGAAGATAGTACTAAATTACCAAAATACAGTGTGATATATTTTTTGTGATACTTTGCATCAGCAAAAGGGCATATATGAGATGCTTAGAAAGTGCTTTGTTATAAATTTATGTCCTTCACTATTTGTCTTCATTTATATGTGTTGTGGACAACTTTAGTCTTTTTTTGTTCTTCTTTACTGGGTGCGGTACACACTGTCTGGAGGATGGACATGCTTGAAGCTCTGACTTGGGTGAGGCAAGGGCAATATATGAAACTTAAACATTTGTATCCCCGTAATATGCTGAAATTAAAAAAAATAAAAATAAATAAATCATATTTTGAGAATAAAGAAGCAGAATTGAATTGTTAAAAACAAAAATAAAAACAACTTTTATCACCTTCTTGTCTGTTCCATTGTAGACTATCAGTGCTATTATTCATTTAAAATCCAAATGTTGTAATAATCTCCTACAATGATAATCTTATGGTGGAATTGATAGGATAATATAGACATTGTCATCTTTAAGCTTCTGATAGTAGTGTTCCACATTTTTATTACAGAAGAGAGCTACTGCTCCTCATCAATAAGAAGGTAGAATTAAAAGGAACATAAATAAGGATATTTTCAGAGCCTGTTTAATCAACCAGTACCGTTAAGTAATAATGTTTACTAGGTACAGTTGTCCATCAGTATGCAGGGGGATTGATTCCAGAACCCTTCCCTGTGACAGTATACCAAATCTGTACATACTCAAGTCCTGCAGTTGGCCCTGTGGAATCTGCATATACAAAAAGTTGGCCCTTCACATGCGTGGGTTTTGCATCCCATGAATACTGTATTTTCTGTTGTCTTTTTTTTAGAGACAGAGTCTTACTCTGTTGCTCAGGATGGAGTGCAGTGGTGCGATCATAGTTTACTGTAGACTTGAACTACTGGGCTCAAGCAATCTTCCTACCTCAGCCTCCCAAATAGCTGGGACTACAGGTGTGTTCTCCACCATGCCAGGCTAATTTTCTTTTTTAAAATTTTTTAAGAGATAGGGTCTTGCTGTGTTGCCCAGGCTGGTGTAGGACTACTGGCCTCAAGCAATCCTCCCTGTCTCAACCTCCCAAGGAGCTGGGATTAGGGGCACATGCCACTGGCCCAGTAGTACCATGTTTTTCTTTTTGTTTTTTCTTTTCTTTTTTCTTTTTGAGACAGACTCTCAGTCTGTTGCCTGGGTTAGAGTGCAGTGGCACCATCATAGCTCACTGCAACCTCAAACTCCCAGGCTCAACTGATCTTCCTGCCTCAGCATCCCAAGTAGCTGGGACCACAAGCATGCACTACCACACCTGGCTAATTTTTTCTGGGGTTTTTTTTTTTTTTTGGTTGAGACAGGGTCTTGCTTTTGCTCAGGCTGGTCGTGAACTCCTGAGCTCAAGTGATCCTCCCACCTTAGCCTCCCAGAATGCTAGGATTGCAGGCATGAGCCACTGTTCCTGGCCAATACTGTATTTTTTGATCCCCAGTTGGTTGAAAAAAAAATCTGTGTATAAGTAGAGCCACGCAGTTCAAACCTGTGTTGTTCAAAGGTCAATTGTATCTATTTTGTGGGGAAACTCAGAAGGTGAAAGACAGTTTCTATGAAACTTTAAAATTTTGTCTCAAACAATAGCATTTTGGTAAGAGCTAAGTTTATCTTTTGCTAGTACTGTCAGTTTTCTGAACTATAGAATGGGGATGATAAAACACACATCTCATAAACTTCTTGTGAAGAGTAAATAAGATAGTACATTTAAAGCGCTTATCCCAATGTCTGGCTCATAATAAGCACTCAGTATATGTGTACTGTTATTTACTGTGAGGTTTCATTCACAGTTAATCTCTTATCTGTATATTTTCCTCTCTTTCTCCTTTGTTATTTTTCTCCATATTGTCATCAGAGCTAAATTTCTAAAACATAGATCTGATTATGTAACACTACCTCTTCAATACCATCTTCTCAACTTTAAAAACCATTAGTGGTTTCCAAGAAAGCCTCATATGCATGGATGGCATTTAGCATCTTACCATCTGACCCTAACCTTCCTTACCAAACAATCTTCTGCCCTGACCACCCACCCAGTGGTTTGCAGCCAAATAGGCCACACGCAGTTATATTTTGCTGCCTTGGCTTGTACTCTCCCTTCTGCCTAGGATCCCCGCTGTAGGCTTCGCCCCACCTTGTCACCCTCAACTTGAAGGAACAGTTGTCTATGAACAACTCAAAAATTTCTCCTGTTTTTTAGGCAGAATTTTTTGGTTCCTGTTTACTCATCTTTCTTTAGCATTTATTACGATATTAAAGTTAATTACATATGTCTTTCTCTCTCAAAAGCTTGTGAGTTCCTTCAGAGCAGAAGCCATGACTTATTATGTTGCTAGAAGTTAGTAGGTACCTAGTAAAAACTTGTTGAAATAATATATTAAAATCTGGTTTGATTTTGTCTTGATTTCAGTGTGTTTTTATCATTCTAGGTTCTTGGCCTTGTCCAAAACATGAGTGTTTTCCAGTGTCCAAAATGTAAACACAAAACTCATATTTTTGGTGCTGATGGTGCAAGGAAACTAGCGCGGACCCTTGGTCTGGATGTTCTAGGTAAGACTGTGGGATGTTCTTTTGTACAGGAAGTGGCAGAAAGGAAAGTGGGGATGAGGTGTGGTGATTAAGAATATCTCAGAAAATGATGAGTTGCTTTTGGCTTTGTATTTTAAATTAAGTTAATATAATACAATTCTATGTGCTAACCTTTTTTTGAAACTATATTTTGAATGATGGTCATCAGTTTGTTTGCTAAGTTAGGCATACATCTCTCAGTATAAACAGATATACATGAAAATACCTGTTCAATATGTTGTGGCAACCTCTGGAAGTATCAGTTCTTGGTGCATACATAAAAATGCCTTCCTGATTGGTTCTGTATTTGTTAGTCTTTCTACTTTAGATTGACAATATTTACTATTTTCTATAATCTTTTTATGCGCTTGACACATCTATATAATATGGCACCTGAACTCACATTATAAACACTGTTCACAGCACTGAATTGAAGAATTAATTAGTGCTGTGAGGAAAACTAAAAGCATGTGTTAAGTGAGTAAAACACAGATTTTGGATAAAACATGATTTTTCAAAAACCCACAAGCAACTTAATAGATTTTTCAGAAAACATGTTTTGATATTCTAATTGTGAATGAGTTTCTGTTCTTGGCAAAGGCAGATGTTAGATGCTGAATAAGGGAGGCATAGAGTGAATTATTAGTTTTAGGTAGTTAAAAATTAAGATCCCCTAGAGATCAAGGAATTTCAAAACATTCTCTGTTATAATTAAGTTTCTAAAAGTTGATGTTAAATATATTATTGTTATGCATTTGCACTATAGCAGCCACTACAATACCAGGTGAATACAAATGATATATTTTGATCCATTGCTATAATTATAGCCAGTAATTATATTCTGCAACTGTTTTTCATTTAACTAACCTAGAAAGTTCAATTTTGCAAATCTGCATAATAACATAACAGATTGACCTTCACTTATATAATAAAGTAAATATGTATTTATAATGGCATTATTGAATTAAGCTTACAACCTTGTAATTTCCTAATTTGTAAATGGGCAGTACAATTTTGTAAGTCAGTTATTTACAATTTGAAACGTCTCATGGAGAAACAATCTCACATATGGAAGTTATATTTTAATCAACAACCTACACATGTATTGTTACCCTAAAAATGTATCAGAAACTGATCACTGATCACAAAAACTGGATAGTGCTGTAGACTGTTGTGTCTAACAGCGTTATGGCAGTTCCCATAACATAGAGTTCCAACTCAGGACACATCTCCTCCTTTTAATGTAGTCATGGGGTTTCAGAGGGGTCTCCCATGAAGTGGAAATTGGAAATGAGGAACTGAAGTCAGGGAAAGAGCTTTCTCGGCTATGGCCTCCTGGCTGGTTGAACCCATTGGGAACCCTTATTTTCCTTTTATGACTCACTGGCAGACTCTTTATTTTCATTTATTGGGTTGTGTTTTAAATGATTTGGCACAATAGCTCTTCAGAACTGTATCCATATTTATCTGCAGGGACAGTTTATGCATAATAGTTAAAGTCTGAGACCATCTCACAGAAAACCCTTTAACCCATTATGTATCTGAAATGGGCCCTCACGTCTTTCAGATCTAGTCCCTCAAGGGTATTCTTCATGCCCAGGCTGCTCCTCACTCCCTCTCCATGCCTTTCCTCCTTTTTATCCCTCTCTAGATACAACCATTAGTCCATCGCCATTCTTATGCCACTTATTTTTTAACAAGATATTTCTCTTTCCTAGTCTACTCTTCTATGTCTATAGGTAGGATTGTGAGTCTCTGGAGGGCAGAAGTGTTGCCAATAGGTAGCTATATAAAGGTGAAGGTTTTACTTTACCTTTCCATTTCTGCAATAGAAAAAATATTATTCAGAATTCCTTACCATAATGGCAATTACAGTAACAGAAAAAACTTTATGGATTTCTGAGCATTTTTCTATAACTTATTTTTCTCTGCCTGCCCCTGTGACAGTTTCCTACAGTCTTCAGTTGATCTATACCATGTTTCCCTGAAAATAAGACAGGATCTTATATTTATTTTTCCTCAAGAAGACACCCTAGGGCTTATTTTCAGGGGATGTGTTATTTTCCCCTCAAAGCCTCAGCTTGCAGCACGCACAGGATGGCCAGGACCTGACAGGGGAGCTGACCTTGTTGGTGGAGCTGCCAGCACCTTTCCAAGGTTGGTGGAGCTGACATTGTTGGTGGAGCTGCCTGTAATCACCTCTGGGATAATAGCTGTCACGATGGGGCAGATAAGGGCTGCTCGTCTTCTTTCCTGCTCCACGACGAAATGCATGGGTTGTGCAGATGCACTGCGTAGCCACGCCCATCACTAGGTCTTATTTTCGGGGTAGGGCTTATATTATGCAAACGCTTAGAAATCCTGCTAGGGCTTATTTTATGGGTAGGTCTTATTTTCGAGGAAACATGGTAGAATAGACATCGTATTTACTGAAAGGCCAACTTTTAAATGGCTAATCAAATATCCATGTATTTTATCATTTGGCCATTAGATATTAAGGAAAGACTCAGAGCTGATTAAGATTGCAAAAGTTGCTGACAAGAGAAACATGAAATACAAATTCCTCTTCCATGTACTTCATAATATAAAGTGTGTTACAACATACACTTCTGCATTATTTACATCGCCTGGCATGGTGCTGAACTACTTATTTAAACAAAGCACACGTTTCGATAATCTTTGCATGGATTCAGAGTGGTTCTGAGAGTGCCGAGTCAACTGTTTTACTTAAGACTTCATTTACTGCATTTTAAATCTGAGCCTTTGAAAGACTTCATTTGTGATGGTGTGGTAGAAATAGTATGTTGGATGATATGTCCGAGCATGTTGCTCCTAAAGTCTACCATCTAATAGTAATTTGTCCTCAGGAAAGACATATAACCTCTTCAACCCCAGTCTGTATGTTGGAGGTTCTTATTATATACCCACTGACACCTCACCAAACTCATAAGTTATATATAATGCTACATAGATTAGTAAATAATAAGAGAAAAATAATTCTATCTGATAAAGAGGCAGATAGTTATGATAATATGTCTGGCCTACTTTTCAACAGTTCTCTGAATTCACTCATCTGCCAACATCAGGAAAATTATTTTGTGGTACTTTTGTGTACTACTTTGCCTCTCCATCTTTTCCTTTTCAATTACCTCTTATTGTTTGGCATGATGTCTCTATATCAGATTTTACAGGGATAAATCACTTACAAAAGTCTTCCAAGGCATTCCTTGCTGGAAGAGCTCCAACAAGAGTAAATCGAGTAAATCATCCCTTCATTGGCTGCCATATCGCTTGCTTGCTTGCTTTCTTCTCTTTCTTTTCTTCTCTTCTTTCTTCTTTCTTTCTTCTCTTTTTCTTTCTTTCTTCTTTTTCTTCTCTCTTCTCTTCTCACCTCTCTTACAGGTTTATTGCATTAACTTTATTTTTAAACTTTTTTTTTTATTTCGGCATATTATGGGGGTACAGATTTTAAGGTTTCATAAATGCCCATTCCCCCCTCCCCCACAAGTCTGAGTCTCCAGCATGACCATCCCCAGATGGTGCACTCTCACTCATTATATATGTATATACCCACCCCCTTCCCCTCCACCTGCCCAATACCTATTTTACTATAGTACCTATGTGTCCACTTAGGTGCTGCTCAGTTAATACATTTGCTGGAGAATATATCTGGTGCTTGTTTTTCCATTCTTGGGAATACTTCACTTAGTAGTATGGTTCCAGCTCTTAACCAGGAAAATACAAGATGTGCTATATCACCATTGTGTTCTTGAGAGTGAGTAGTACTCCATGGTATACAATACCACATTTTATAATTCATTCTTGGATTGATGGGCACTTGGGCTGTTTCCACAGCCTTGCGATTATGAATGTGTTGCTATAAACATTCGAGTGCAGGTGTCTTTTGTAGAGTGTCATTGATCATTTGGGTAGATGCCAGCAATGGGATTGCTGGATCAAATGGTAGATTCACTTGTATCGCTTTAAGGTATCTCCATATTGCTTTCCACAGAGGTTGAACTAGTTTGCGTCCCACCCAGCAGTGTAGGAGTGTTCCTCTCTCTCCGCAACCACGCCAGCATTTATTGTTTGAGATTTTGTGATAAAGGCCATTCTCACTGGGGTTAAGTGATATCTCATTGTGGTTTTGATTTGCATTTCCCTGATGATTAGAGATGTTGAGCATTTTTTCATATGTTGTTGGCCATTCTTCTGTCTTCTTTAGAAAGTTTCTGTTCAAGTCCTTTGCCACTTTTAATGGGGTTATTTGATTTTTCTTCCTGATTTTTGTGTCTAAGATATTCTAGTTATCAGTCCCTATCGGATGCATAGGATGCAAAAATTTTCTCTCATTTTGTAGTTGTTCTGTTATCTTCATGACTATTTCTTTGGCTGTGCAGAAGCTTTGTATGATCATGTCCCATTTATTTATTTTTCCAGTTCTCCTCCGCAGCCTCCTTCCGTGGATTCCCGGGTCTTATACCCCTCTTCGCCTCGTCTGCTGTATGCTCGTCTTCTTGCTTCTTTTTTCTTATTTCTGCTAGAATCTATCTTTTCTGCAGAGACACTTTGTCTGGCGGTGTTTCTCTTCCGCCATCTTCTCGCTTTCATATTATACATATAACAATCACTGTACTACCCTCAAATGTAATATTTTACCCCTAATTTTCATTTGAATTTTTTCATACATTAGCAATTTCAAGATAGTCATAACTTGAGTTTAATGACTTCAGATTTTGTTTCTTTCCAAAGTTCAAATAATGAGATTCTAATTGTCTGTATAAACTTTTCTGATACTAATGGATATCTGGTGGGCTCTTTTAGGAGACATTCCCTTACACCTTAATATAAGGGAAGCTTCAGATACAGGCCAGCCAATTGTGTTTTCTCAGCCTGAAAGTGATGAGGTAAGTTACATTTCTACATATGTATTTTATTTCTTTTTTTAGTATATATACTTTTTGAAATACAGAAAAAATGTTGGAAAGATGAAGCTTATTGATTTGCAGTGCATGTATATAAACAGGATTGATTAACTTGTGCAAAGCGTCTTTAAGTTACTATTTTATGTGGTAAGCTTCCAGTGCTGGCTCTGAATTATCAGCTGAACAAGCTCACCTACCGACAATCATCACCCAACCAGTTTTTTCATGAAGATCATGAACAATGAGAATTTGAGAAATTCTTGTCTTGCTGACTAGCAATATCTAACTGCCCAAGGTTATTTTATTTCAGTACTAAAAGTTCAGCTAATTGTTGGGAAAAGGGTAACTATTGAGTTGGATATAGAGTGATTGTATAAACCAGTAGAGATAGGATTGTCATTGCATTTACTTTAATAAATATAGTTGGAGAGGAAGGGTAGAAAGACTAGTAGTGTTTCATTAGCCAGTATCATTGTGAATATACTTGATAGATTTTCAAGGTTGCTGAAACATAAAAATCTTTTATTTTAATCTTTTTTAATAGAAATAAAATCAGTCATATATATCTCTTCTTTCCTAAATAGCACTTGATTTTTAACTTAAAAACTGAATTGTCTTTTGGTATTTTGATGTAGTTTTTGTGTTCCTTTGCTGGACAGCCTCAATCAATCTTCTAATAGCCTTTCTTTTTCTTTTTTCCTTGACTAAATGGGTATAACTTTATAGCACTGTTGTTTTGTCCATCCATAACTACTATCCCTTTTATTCTAGTTTGTTTCCTCTAATCTTCTGTGAAATTATTTTCTCTTCCAGAAAATAAAAAAGCCAAGCTTAGTTAGTATTACAAGTAAGAGAAAATTAATAGTCAGGAATCTTGGATAAGTAAAGTAGATTGATTTTGAGTTATCTCTTTCAGCAGCCCAGAGGTCCTTTACCTTTCTTAAGGATTGGCAGTTATGGTACAGGTGATTAAGTTGCTGGCAGTATGATCTCTGAGTAAATACAGTATAGCAGTTATCATTGTTTTTCTTTTATTTGCCTTTTAGGTATTAAGTGGTAAGGTTCCTTTTCAGTCTTTCTTAGAAATCTTTCCGATAAGCAAAAACCATAATCCTTTATCACCTGCATAATTAAAGTCTGTTAATCCCAATTACCATAGGTATGCTTTACACCATAAATGAAAAAGTTATGTGAAAATTGAGGGCTTTTTTTTTTAATAATACACTTTTAAATGCCTCCTAAGAATAGACTCTTTAAAGATATTCCATGGTGATTCCTAGTAAATAAGAGAATGAGAATAATTATTACTGGTTACTTATTAGTTTATTTCAATTGCAAGTTTAGATGTTTAATATTTTTTCAACCTTCATCATTGTTTTTCTTTGAAATTCTGCAAAAGTACAACACATTTCAATAAAATTATAGGAATGTATTATAACAGAGAACATATAGCAACCATCCAAAGATATGATTTAAAACTCTAAACAACAGTGTTTGTTGAGTTTTTTGGAATTATATGTTTTTATAATCTGGTCTACCTTCATGTAACTGTCAGACCAATTATTTTACCATTGCTAGATGACATTTATGAGAGTCTTGGGATAGCCTAAACTTTTGTGGTTTGTTGATATCACTATATACCACATCATCAGTCTTAAATATGAAGATTTCTGATCAATTTTCAGATTTAGACATGGCCATGAAAAATGGGGGAAAAGATGCCTTGTATTTTTTCCATTTAATTTAACATTTATTTTCATTTTATATCCAGATATCACATTTTCTACATTAAAATATAATCATGCTGACTCCCCCCACCCCCTGGACCCTCAGAGAAAAAAGTGAAGACCTTTACATAACTTGAAAGATGGGAATGCACAGAGTTGGGAAGTTGCTTTTGCACCCAAGTCCAAGTATCAAAGAACACAAAGAGACCAAATAGCAGAAACGTGGCAGAACTGCATAGAAGATAGCTCAGGGCTTGTATCGGGGAGAAGCAGAAATTAACAAAAGTCTAAAGCTTTTAAATGTAATCACTTGTGCCACAAGATTACTGTCAAAAGGTAGAGACAGGTCAGAAGGCAGAACCAAGTCAGGGATTTCCCAAAAGCTGCGCTCTAACATAGAGTGTAAAATATCCACAAAGAGCTCTTACTTCCCACCTTGCCTTCGGCATCTGGTAAACACTTTAGAAACTTAAACCACTGTTAGCACAATAGCATGTAACGTGGACATAGGTTTTCCTTTCTTCTTCTTTTATTGTACCCAAGCAACAATTCTATTAGCTATTTTAATCACATTATTCCCCCTGCATGGAAACCCTGTAAATATCGCCAAGATGAGGTGCCTTGTATTTTCTTTTCTTTCCATGGAAGATATTACTTCTTACTCATAGATTGTAGACATTCATTATTATTAATCATCTTCCTGATAATAATAGCATTTACTGTGAGCCAGACACTGTCAGGCATTTTATTAATATTATTTCTGTCCTCACAGCAACTTAATATAATATATATTAATAGATAACCCCCATATTACAGATGAGGAAACTGAGCCTCAAGGAAGTTAAATAATTTTCCCAAATCACAGAGCTATTAAATGGTAAGATAGGATTAAAAGACAAGTCTATTCCTTCCAAATGTTCACCTCTTTCCAATATATCACCTTTTGGTCCTATGCGAATAGTTATGATTCCTTTAACTCCTTCTGAGACATAGGTGCGGTGCTTAGGTGCATTGAATACATTACGTTGCCTTATTTGACTCTTACAGCATCTTTGTGAGATCAGCATAATAGTCTGTATTTTTTCAGACAAAGAAGCAACAATGTAATGTAAAAGGAGTTCCTTCATGTACATTAAGGACATTGTCCAAGTAGTACTAGAGGCTACTTCCACACCACAGCCCATGTATTCTCTTGCCAATGCAATATCTGCTTCACTTACTAATGAATTACAAGGTTAGTTCAGTGTCTGTCTATGGTATATAAATGCAAGCTTTCAGTTCAACTTCTTTTCATAATATCACAGAGATTTAGAGAAAAAGGTGAGGAGACTCTGCTGCTCAAGTTCTATTGGCATGCACAACTGTAGGGCATAATGCAGAGGATCTTAACCTGGGTCTGAGAATCCCCTCAGATTATATCCAGAATGTGTGAAAGTGCATTTTTCTGAGTAATTGGCCAAGAGCTTTGTTAGATTCTCAAACAGGGATTCGGCATGGAAGGAAAAGCACGAAATCTGAGTCAGTGTGGGGTTTCATTACCAAGTTTGCTGCTTCCTAAGTGTGACCTTAAGCAAATTCTCTAACCTCTCTGAACCTTTCTCTCCATATATAAATTGATTTCATTATGAGAAGGATTAAATGAGATAATAATGTGAAAATACTTTGAAAAATGCCAGGTATAATACAACTGTATTTATTGCCTTCTGCAACTTCCTGTATAAGATATTAGGACATTAAAGGTCTTTCCTCTTCCCTTTATTAAAGTACTGAGTGCATTTATACCCTTGACCTAGCATCAAGTAAATGCCATCTTTAATGGCATTTTAAAAATCAGGGTAGCAGAATTTGAATCATGAGGATATGAGGACATGAGGATAGAATTGCCAGTTTCAATGTTAAAGACATTAACCGCTAGACATTAGAAAGCTATGATTGAGTCCTAGAATCTGAATCCTTATGGTTAGTCTTGTCCTGAATCTTGCCTCCTGATAACTCTCTTCCCTTTTCCTCTGTAAACTCAAATGGAAATGTGCTCTTAGAAACCAGTCTTAGCTCTCAACAGATCCTGTTGTATTCTTAGAAGCTTAATTCCCATTCTACCTGTATGTAGAATGAAGAAATTCATTTAAGGAATGAAGGAAGTGTTTATTTGCCAACATGATAAAACTTCTGCAAAAGTTAATGGGATGGAAACTTATAATATTAGTTGTAATCATTAACACTTTAGACTGACAATTTTTATTGTTTGCTTTTAGAGGTTAACCCATAGGCAAAATTATTAATCAGTAAATGTTTCATCTTTAGCTTTTTGTCTTTTTACTCCACTTTCTATTCCCCATATTCCATCACTCCCTCCTCCAAACACCAGGTGTCAGGGCTCTCACTCTCTGCCCATAAAACCCTTTAAAATTAGGCACTAGGGATTCAACTCTCCTGGTAACATTTAACTTTCAGAAGAGGCAAAACTAAAAAGTTAATGATTAGAGGTATCAATTGTGGTGAATTTAAGGTATCACTGGAAAAGTTGAAAATACTTGTGGTACCAATTGAAAAAGCACTAATAGGCTGCTGCCTCCTCAGCCAATGGTCAGAACTTTCTGTACATGTGCTCCACTTAGGAAAAGAGAGTAACTGAAACTCCAAATGTGAGTAATGTAAAATAGCTGGAGAACGCAATAGAGGAAGGAAGAGAAGGTGATACCTAGAATTCAGAACTCTTAAATTCAATAGCATTGCCAGCATGCTGGTGTGATTAAAATTGTTGATTTGACTAAAACTACTTTTTGACCTTGATTGAAACCAGGACACAAGGAATGGGCCCATGCTTGACTAATAATTTTGTGATTTTTATCCTTTTTTCAAAGAAAAATATTAGCTACAGAAAGATGTGTTATAAAATATTCCTGGTAAAGACGTTCAAGGATAAATGGAAACTTTATCACCTTATAATTTCTAAATTATCACTTCAGAGTCTTATTATGGAATGGCTGTGTATGATAAATTAGAACTTAAAATATTTAAAAACAAAGACAAAGGAAAACTCTCCATGAAACTTGCTGGACTTGGTTTTGTTCATTCCCTGTTGCTTGTTAATGACAATGCAGACAAATGGGGTACAGCTGTATTATCTGTGCCTCTAGAAGGCCCAACAAAAAGATCTTCAGTAGGAGAGAGGAGTCGAGTCAAGCTGATGAAAGAATAGAGTAAGAATAGTTTGAGAAATCCCAATCATATCTTTTACGTATGATGCATGTGTGTTATGAATTAAACGAAAGAGTTATGAATTGAACAAAAAAGAGGGATTTAATTTAGTTATTGCTAGGTGGGAAAAGTGCCCTAAGGACATGTTCATTAACTCTTCTATGAGACTATAAATTTCTTGAGGACATAATAATAATAGCTGCAGCTACTAATATTTATTATTTCCTTCCTCTGTACCAGCATTTCACATGCCTCATTCTCACTTAATACTCCCCCAAATCCTTGTACACACTATTATTATAACCATTTTACAGATGTGGAAACTAAGCCTGGAAAGGTTAAGTAACTTGCCCAAGGTCTCACCACTAATAATTAATGATGCCAAGTTTTTCTAAACCATGTCTGTCTGACTGTAAGACCCCAACTCTTCGCCAGTGTGCTATTCTGCCCCCCTTTTATATCATTACAACCACAGATTTCCTAATACAATGCCTTGCATGCAATAAGAACCAAAATATATTTGTTGAAGTGATACTGCATACGTTGTTGAGAAATTGAAACTGTTAATCTAAGCACTTTTAGTGATTTCTCGCAAATGACAAATCTAACCATTATTTTGAACGTGATACATTGAATATCTAAGGTTGGAAATAGTCCATAAAAAGCAAAGGTTCAGTGTTGCAATTTTGATTATTCTGGAATCATTTAGCATTTTTTTGTATTCTGATAGGTTTATGTCTCTAATGTAGACAAGTACTAAAAATTACAGAATTACGGCCTTGCTTCCGCTTGCTTTAGTGAACTTTTAATTTTCAACACAAAATATTAGGCATAAATACCTAGAAAAGCTACTAAGAGATAAAAGGTATTTATAAAGATGCATGGGTGAAAGTCAGCACATTAGATTTGAGAGAAATATTTCTTTAAAAGTACAAGTTATTTCCATTTTTAAACAAAAACTATTGTTTCTGTTAATTGTAGCAGAGATTGAAACCGTTTTTAGACTATGCATTAATGATTATAATAACTTGTGTTTTGGGTTTACTGTTTAATATGTGGTATGGTATAGGGGTCTCCAACCTATGGTGAGTTGTATAATTATTTCATTATATATTATAATGTAATAATAATAGAAATAAAGTGCACAATAAGTGAAATGTGCTTGAATCATCCGGAAACCATCCCCACCTCTCTGGTCCCTGAAAAAGCTGTCTTCCATGAAAACAGTCCTTGGTTCCAAAATGGTTGGCGACCACTGGCAAGTGGAAAGAGCTGGACTTTAGAGTCAGTTGGACTCAGGTGTGAATGTCTTCCCACCTCCTCATTTCATGACCTTGTGCAAACAACTCCCAGTTTTATCATCCAAGTTGAGCTGATAATGCTTGTTTTATGTGATTGAGATTATGTACATGAAGTACTTGGCATAGTAGATACTCAGTAAAACATTTAAAGCCTTATTCATGTTTGAGAGCTTTTTTTATTTTAAAGGACTCTATTTAATTTTAATACTTTTCTGGTAAAATAAAACGTGATTCAGCTGTTAGGGCTCAAATATAGTCTTTAAAAATGAAGATGTGTGAAATACACTTAATGTACTTTATCAAGTCAGGGCAAACAGACCCTTAAATATCTCTTTTTACTATACAGAATCTAGGGGTTGGTCAGCCTGGGTTCAAAGCCCAGCTTATCTCCTACTGGCTATAATGGTTGGATAAGATTCTTCACCTTTTTGTGTCTATGTTTCCTCATTTATAAAGTGAGGATACTGACAGAATTTATCCCCTGTGGTAACTGTGAGGACAATGAAATAATACTTGGCAAATATTTAGGTACTCAGTAAATTTTAGCTAGTAGTAGTAATATATATATATATATATATATATATATAACTGTAAGCATTGATAAGTGTAGAAATTAATAGTTTTAGAAAATCTTACTATTGTGTTCTGTAGTTACTTTTTATAAATAAGGTAGGGGAATAAATAATATTTGCATTGTAATTATTTAAAGTAACTCTTAAAATGCAAATAACGTGACCATTGTTCTAACTAAAACATGTGGGCATTAGGTTAGTTTGTGGCCTACTCTGTGGCTTGGTAGCTGCTTTTAGTGTTCCATGGCACTGGGGATCTGATAAATGAACCTGAAATTCTTGCACAATACCCAAAATTTGCCAGGTGAAAGAGCCTGTAGGTGTTCAGTGCTAGTATTGCACGCTATTCTCAGAGAGATGAAGAAATGCTTTCCAAATAAAAAAAGAAAATGCTTTCCAAATATAAACCATAGGGTAGTAGTAAATAGTCCTCGTTAAAATGACTAACAGCTCTTATGCCAAAGAAGTTTTGGCAGTATCTGAGGATATCAGTTTGTCAGAGGAGGAAGGTGTAATTTTTCTGTAACTAGACTGGGTTGCTAGTTTGCTGACACCAGGATTAGAGTTTGAAAAACAGTAATTGTTGGTACTATTATTTCAGAAAGTCACTTTCCAAATAATTACCCTTCAAATAATCTAAAATCCTTTCTCCCCTATACCACTTGCAATGTACATAGCATTATCTTCTCTTTACTGTATTTCCTCATCTCAGCCTTTTTACTATCAAATCCCGTAGACATCTATGGCAAACAGTACATGAGTCATTCTTTGTCTGCTGGAGAAAAATACAGAACAAATGAGTCTGTTCTTTTCCAGGCAAAAGCTTACCTGAGGATTGCTGTAGAAGTGGTAAGAAGGTTGCCACCACCTCCAGAATGATTCCCCAAATATCCTGGAAATCTGCCTGGTACTGATAATAAGAGGATCTTTGGAAATCAGCAGTGTGGTAGTGGGACCTACAGAAATAGTAGCAATCATAATTGCTTTCTTTTATTTCTAAGGAAATAATGTCGTGTTTTAGATTTGATACACTATGATTCACAAAGTTTTATGTTTCAATGCTAACTGAGTATGTTTAGGAATTTTTTGAAAGCTGATGTGTACCAACTATGCAGAATTGCATTTTATTTTTATTGAATTACTCCTTGAGGAATCATGAGTTCATGATGTTGCAAGCCCTGTTTGGACAGAACTGCACTTTTTTTGCAGGACCACAGAGTTAGTCATTTAAAAGATACTAAATTCGTGTATGGACATAAAAGTGTGACACCTCCCCACCATGCAGTTTTTTCTGGCTTTCAGTCCTGTCTTTAGTCCTATCTTGGTCATGTTCTTAATATGGATGAACCTCTGCTTCTTCATCTGTATCAGACTGTACCCCAGACTTAATGAACCTGAATCTCCAGAGGTGGGGCCTGGACACGTATGTTTTTAATAAGATGATGATGATGATGATTTTAATGGCAAAAATAATAATAGCTAACTTTTATCAAGTGGTTTCTATGTGTCCCTATAGCTAATCTTCCATTTGTATGAGTGGGCTACTATTGTTATCTCCATTTACAGATGAGGAAACTAAGGCGTAAGAAAGTTAAATGTCTTGCTGAGGATTTCTTTATCTAGGAAGTGATGGAGCTGGGATTTGAACTTGAGTAGTTGGATACTATATTCCTCCTTTTATACACTAGTGTGCATTTGTTAATTATAAAAAGGGGAGGATATAGTATTTAACATTTCCTCAAACTTATTTGCCTATGAAATCCACCCCCCTTTTTAAAAGCATTTCATGGAGTTCATGTTTCAAAGAATACACTTTGAAAAACATGTATCTTGTCTAATTGAAGCTCAGAGAGAGAATCAAGGACTTTGCAAGGTTAAGTAGTAGATAGTTATAAAGCTGCAAGTACTGATAAGAGTGAGTCACTAGTTAATTGTCAGTTAGAAGGAAGTAGTCTCTCACCTCTGACAAATGCCTTGACATCCTTTGCTCTATAGTCATCAGCCAAAACATTAGGCAAAAAGTTGCACATCATTGTAAACGTATTTTCACCAAAAACCTGTAAATGGATGTTTATAGCAGCTTTATGTGTAATAACAAAAACAACTCAGATTTTCTTCAATGGGTAAATGGTTAAACAAGCTGTGGTATATCCATGCCATGAAATACTACTCAGTAATAAAAAAGAAGAAACTATGGATACATGCAATGAGCTGAATGAATTCCAGAGAATCATGCTGAGTGAAAAAGCCAATTTCAAAAGGCTGTGTACCATATGATTCCATTTATATGACATTCTTGAGATGACAAAATTATAGAAATGGAGAACAGGTTAGTGGTAGCTGTGTTAAGAAAGGAGTGAGGATGGGGGAGAATTGGGTGTAGCTATAAAAGCAACATGAGGGATCCTTTGATAAAGGAAATGTTCTATATCATGACTTTCTTGATGTCAGTATCTTAGTTATGATATTGTATTATAGTTTTGCAAGATGTTACCATTGGGGGAAATTGGGTAAAGGGCACTTGGAATCTCTCTGTATTATTTCTTACAACTGCATGTAAATCTACAATTAATTCAAAATAAAAATAAAAGTTTTAAAAACATGTATTGCTATATCTGAACTGAAATTCTTGGTACAAAATTACCTATACTGATTAATATCATGAATAAAATTCTTTGTGGACACACAATAATCACTTATCACTCTGAGAAGGAAGTAATGGCCTACAGTTGCAGATATGTATTTGTGTTTTTATTATTTATTTAGTAGGGAGGAAATATAGATGATCACTGAGCACTTTTGATAACAAAAAGCAAGTACTTCAACCAAACTTAACTTTATCCAGAAAAAGAATGATTTATAAGCTCCAGAGGTGCTTAAAGTTGTGTGCCATAGTTTAATACATCTCATGGGGAAATGGAAAAAGATAGTCTTTACTCATAATTACATGACTTACAGAAGGATCCACATATGTCATTCCTTGTCCCCTTCTCCTTCAGTGCAGATACTTCAAGGAAAGCTACTGGGGAAAAAAATGGTTGGGGAATACATGCACATTCAGAAGTAGAAGAAGGAAAAGTAGCTCTGAAAGCAAGAACTAAACTTATTCTAAAATTTTGCCTCTCATAGTCTTTGTCAAGCTTCAAAGAGCTGGCTTCTAAGATAGACTCCCAAGCACCGCTATTGTTGCCTATTGTTAAAGGGCATTTATTAATATTTATTCTTCATTCTTCACATTTCAATAGAGTGTAGAGAATTTCTATTCTACTATCCAAGAGGGAAAGGTAAGCTCCCTCACTCACTCCATTCCAGGAAAGGAGGAATGGGAAAATTTCTTCCTAAAACCCTCTGCACTTCTTTGATTTCAGCCAAATCCCAAGTTTTCTGAGGCAGGCTACAGGCAAACCTGAAGTTGTCTCTCTCTGCCTTGCACTTCAGGGGGGGAAGTCCATCTAATTTAGGGTTAGAGTGTTTAGTTGCCCATTCTGGTCATATATCCTTGAATCCAGCCTTTGTTAGTAATAAAGCTGATATTTTTGCCTTTATCAGAATTCTTTGTCTCTCAGTTCCAAACAGAGGAAGAATCCCTACATCCTGTACCCCGCTGCACTTCCAGGAAACCCAAAATACCTTTATGGAGTCCTAGAAAATTAAAACTGAAGAATATATTAGAATTCAGATAGTCCCTACAACTACACTTAAAGTATGTCTAATAAAAAGTAAGATCATCAATGACCAAAAGCTTTTTTAAGGGGAAAGGTTACTGTGAAGTATAATAAATACACAGGAAAGCACAGAAGACATAAATGTGCAGCTTAATTATTCACAAAGTATATACCCGTGTAACTATTAACCAAGTTAACAAGTAGAACACTGTCAGGATCCTAAAAGCCCCAGTATTTTCCTTTCCAATCACTAACCCCTCCTTCCCTACAAGTTACCCATATACTGATGTTTAAACACTTAAACTTGTGTCCTTAAACACTACAGTTTTGCCTGTTTTTTGAAGTTCATCTTAAATGGAATTGTATTTTTTTGTTCTATATTCCTTTTATAATATTTTGCTCTATATTGACTGCTTTTGCTTTATATTATGTTTTTGAGATCTATGTCTATTGTTGCTTTTAGCTGTGATGTGTTCATGTTCTTTGCTGTAGAATATTCCATTGTTTGGATATATACAACTTATCCATTCTGTAGGCAGACTTTTGGATTGATTCCAATGTTTTGCTATTACAAATAATGCTGCTTTAAACATTTCTGTACATATTTTCTTGGTGTTCATGCATTTGAATTTCTGTTCAGTTATTTCTAGGAGTAGATTTACTGGTAGTAGTTTAGTGATATCTCATTGTGTATCTTATTTTAACTTGCATTTTCCTGATTGTAAATGAGGTTGAGCACTGTTACATATATTTATTGGCCAACTGGCTATCCTCTTTTGTCAAATCTCTTGCCCCTTTTTCTTTTATATTGTTGGAATGCTTTATATATTCTTGATAAGAATCTTTCCTCAGTACTATGTGTTGCAGATATCTTTTTCCACTCTGTAGCCTGCCTTTCCTTCTCTGAATGGTATCTTTTGATAAACAGAAGTTCTTAATTTTAGTGTTTCAAGTTCACCATACTTTTCCTTTATTATTATTGATTTTGTGCCATACTCTGAAGTCATGAAGATATATTTCTGGAGGTATAATTGTTTTGCCTTTTACCTTTAGTTCTGTGATCCACCTGGAATTGGTTTTGGTTTTGGTTTTGATTTTGGTTTTTAAGTGAGATAAGCTTTAAGTTTGTTTGTTTTTTCGTTTTTGTATATCTAATTGGCCCAGTAACTTTGGGACTCTCTTTTCTCCCTACTGTTCTATGGTACCGCCTTTGTTGTAAATTAAATTCTTTTTTTTTTTTTTTTTTTTTGAGACAGAGTCTCACTTTGTTGCCCAGGCTAGAGTGAGTGCCGTGGCGTCAGCCTAGCTAACAGCACCCTCAGACTCCTGGGCTCAAGCAATCCTACTGCCTCAGCCTCCCGAGTGGCTGGGACTACAGGCATGTGCCACCATGCCCAGCTAATTTTTTCTATATATATTAGTTGGCCAGTTAAATTCTTTCTATTTATAGTAGAGACGGGGTCTGGCTCTTACTCAGGCTGGTTTTGAACTCCTGACCTTGAGCAATCCGCCCACCTCGGCCTCCCAGAGTGCTAGGATTACAGGCGTGAGCCACCTCGCCCAGCCTGTTTCTGAGTTCTCTATTCTGTTCCATTGGTTTGTTTGTCTTATCTTTGCACCACTAACTCACTGTCTTGTTGTTCTTGTTGTCATCACCTTGTACTTCAAGAATGTTTTGGCAATCTGTGATTCTTTGCATTTTTATATAAATTTTAGAGCTAGCATATGCAGTCCAAGAACAACAAACAATCTACTGAAGAGAATTTCAGTTTGGCTTAGGATGGAGAAGACTGGAAAGAGCATGATACCCACACTTAAAATAAGAAAAAAAATGCATGATATATAAAATCATAACTTTTCTTAAACCTCCCAGGGAACTGAAGTTGCAGTGCAACCAATTAGCCTGAAATGTAAAGAAAGACAAGCCCCTCCATGGAGAGATAGGATGTAAGCCCTGCCTCACCTCTGGCAGAGCACAAAAGAAAGAGATGCCAAACTATCTATGAACAAGTAAGAAAAATTATAACAAATTGCTAAAAGCTGAGTGTAGAATAACAAGAGAATCTAAAACCCCTGGAAGCTGCTAACAGAAGAGGAGTTTTCACCCACCCATTGAGTTTACTCCATGGACCTCATTGGGTGCCTAAGAGAAGAATTGAGTGCAGGGCAGGGAACTGTAGAAAGCCTTCCTCAATGGTACAGGTCTGGAGATGGGGATTAGCTTGCCACTCTGAAAAAAGCACAAAGCCCTGCCTGGACCCTCCATCCCTATAGAACAAATATCATAAATCACGGGCGAAGACAGCAAACCTTGTTTCCTCAAGGAACAGATTAAGACCCATTATGACTTGGAAAGAGGAAAAAAAAAACCCTTAAACCTGGAGGAGGAACAGGAAGCCATCCTGGCCCCCTAACCATGAAAGATACCCTAAATGTGCTAAAGAAAGCCCAGTTACCAAGACCCAAGACAAAGGGATTGCCTAAAGCTGAGGCTGGATCAGGATAGCAGAGAACCCTGTGCCCCACAGCAAGCTAACAAGCATTGAGTATGAAGCAACAGTAGTCTCTACTGCTGGAGGAGCAGGTAAGAATGTGAGTAGATGTCAGGAGCTAAGGGTAGAGCAGGAATAGTAAGACAAAAAATCCTTTGGCAACCCAGCCTTCAACTTAAGTGCAAGGTAATATCAAAGGGATTTGAGGTTAGTGGAGTACTAAGGTAATCATAACAACAAACCCTAAATAATATGAATTCCTGACTAGACTGACTCAGCCTTGCCCACTCAATATTTGGAGAAAACCCATTTCTAGCCATATATACTATTTTTACCTGTCTCTACTGTCCTACACATTATGCCTAGCATTAAAAAAAAAAAAAAAAAGATTATAAGGCAAAAACAAGCAGGAGTGGGTGGGGGCGGGGTGAATCAACCTCCTGTCAAGAGACAAAGCAATCAACAGAACCAGACACAGAGATGGCCTAGCTGTTGGTACTATCTGGAACCAGCTTAGTTGGTACAAATAAGAAATTTTAAATGCCTTGCCTATGATTAATATGTTAAAGGATCTAATGGAAAAGGTGGACAAGCAGATTAGGAATGTCAGCAGAGTAATGGAAACCATAGGAATAAGGAAAATTGAAATGCTAGAAATGAAAACAGTAGAGATGAAGGATTTGGGGCTTATCCGTATACTTGACATGTATGAAGAATCAGTGGACTTGAAGGTAGATAAACAAGAACTACCCAAATTGAGGCACAAAGACTAAAAATTTAAAAACAAGAACACACGACGTGCAAGAGCTAAGCATAAATTGATATCTCATAAGAAGAGAAGGACAGTGGGATAGATGAAATATTTAAAAAGATAACTGCTAAGAATTGTCAAAATAAAAGATATAAAACAATGGAATTCACAAAACTCAGAAAGCCACAAGTAGGATTATAAAAACCTAGATACATTATATTGAAACTATTGCAAAACAAAGATAAACTCTTGAAGGCAGTAAGAGAAAAAAATCAAATTATATAAAAACAAAAATAAGAATTATAGCAGGCCTGCTGTATGTAAGCTATAAGACAATGGAATGGCAACATTAAAGTGCTGAAATTAACAAACAAAACTGTCAATCCAGAATTCTATACCAATGAGAATAACATTCAAAAAGGAAAGTCTTTTTCAGATAAATAAAAGTTAATAGGCTATTGTGGTGCGTCATACCTATAATTCTGGCACTCTGGGAGGCCAAGGCAGGGGGATTGCTTGAGATCAGGAGTTCAAGACCAACCTGAGCAAGACCCCGTCTATATTAAAATAGAAAAAATAGCCAGGTGTCATAGCATGTACCTGTAGTCTCAGCTACTAGGGAGGCTAAGGCAAGAGGATTATTTGAGCCCAGGAGTTTGAGGTTGCAGTGAGCTATAATGACACCACTGTACTCTATCCACAGTGCCAGAGTAAGACTGTGTCTCAAAAAAAAAGCTAAGAGAGTTCATTAACAACAGACTACAGTAAATGTTATAAGAAGTTCTTGAGGTAGAAGGAATAGAATACCAGAGAGAAACTTTGGTCTATACAAAGAAATGAAGATTTTGAAAATATTTTTTTAAAAAGATAAATATAAGGAATACTTATCATATTTTTAATCATTTGAAAGACAGTTGACTCTCTAAATGAAAAATAATAGTAATGTATTATGGATTTATAGCAAATGTAAAAGTGAAATATATGGCAACAATAGCAAAAAATGGATGAGGGGATATATTGAGAGTATACTGTTGTAAAATTCTTACACTATATGAGTAATGATATATTATTTTAAGGTAGGTTATGAGTAAAGCTGAACATTGTAAATTTAAAAACAACTAATATTTTTAATGAAGTTAAATAATAAGCCAGCAGCAGTAGAGATAAAATAGAATCATAAAAACACTTAATTTAAAAGCAAGCAGAAATAGAGGTACAAAAGGAACAAAACAGAAGAAATAGAAAACAGCTAGCAAGATGGCTGATTTTAATCTAAATGTGTTGATAATTAAAGTGAACTTTAGTAGATGTCCCAAACATATTAATTAAATGATAGATTTCCAGGTTTGATGAAAAAGCAAGACCCAACTATGTACTGTCTAAAAGAAATCCATGTTAAATATAAAGACACAAATAGATTTAAAGTAAAAGATAATATCAAAAGAAAGATGGGGGCCGGGCGCGGTGGCTCAAGCCTGTAATCCTAGCACTCTGGGAGGCCGAGGCGGGCGGATTGCTCGAGGTCAGGAGTTCGAAACCAGCCTGAGCGAGACCCCGTCTCTACTATAAATAGAAAGAAATTAATTGGCCAACTAATATATATAGAAAAAATTAGCCGGGCATGGTGGCGCATGCCTGTAGTCCCAGCTACTCGGGAGGCTGAGGCAGAAGGATTGCTTGAGCCCAGGAGTTTGAGGTTGCTGTGAGCTAGGCTGACGCCACGGCACTCACTCTAGCCTGGGCAACAAAGCGAGACTCTGTTTCAAAAAAAAAAAAAAAAAACAAAAACAAAACAAAAGAAAGATGGGAACCAGGCGCAGTGGCTCACATCTTTAATCCCAGTACTTAGGGAGGCCGAGGTGGGAGGATTGCTTGAGACCCGAGCAAGAGAGAAACCCCATTTCCCATATTTACAAAAAATAGGAAAATTAGCCAGGTGTGGTGGCACACTACTATGGTCCCAACTACTGGGGAAGCAGAGGCAGCAGGATCACTTGAGCCAAGGAGTTTGAGGTTGCAGTGAGCTGTGATGACACCACTGCACTCTAGTCCAAGTGACAAAGAGAGACCCTGTCCCCAAAAAAACAAGAAAGAAAGAAGTGGGGGTGGGGGGGAAGTCAAGAAGATATAACAATTCAAATATGTGTCCACTAACTAAACAGCTTTGAAATATGGGAAGCGAAAATTGATAGAACTAAAAGTAAAAACAGATAAATCCACAGTTATAGTTGGAGTCTTCCAATATTCTTCTCTTGGTAGTCAATGGAACAAGAACAGATAATCAGTAAGGATCAGAAGACCCAAACAACACTAGTGGTCATTTATTTATAGGCCACTCTATCCCCAAACAGCAGAATACACATTATTTTTTAACAAATATGGACATTCACCAAGATAGACCATATTCTAAGTGATAAAACATGCTTCAACTTATTTAACATAACCAAAAGAATGTAAAATATGTTATTTTATTATAACAAATAGAATTTAATAACAAAAATTGTGGAAACTCCCAAATATTTGGAAATAAAATAAGTCTAAATTACCCATGGGCCAAAGAGGAAGGAAGAAGGGAAATTATAAAATATTCTGAACTGTGAGTAGAAATGAAAGCAAATCATATCAAAATTGGTAGGATGCATCTAATGCAATGCCTAGAGGGAAATTTATAGCATTAACATGCCTATATAGGTGCTCCCGGACTTAAGAGGGGGTATGAGCCATGTAAGTTGAAAATACCATAATTGACACCATAGGTTTATCTAGATGTAATCCCATGATAAATTGAGGGAGGAACTGAATTCATATTACTTTAACACCATCCTAAAATTGAAAAATCCTAAGTTGAACCATTGTAAGTCAAGGACCACCTGTATTGGAAAAGAAAGATCTCATATCAGTGAAGTATTCTTCCACATTAGGAACCTAGAGATAGCAGAGTAAATGGAACCCAAAACAATAGAAGAAAGAAAGAAAAAAATGAAATTG